ATAGATTCTTATATAAAGCATATTACAGGTCTGAATGTGACCCCTCATGAAAGTGATGACTCCTGTTGAAAAAAATCAGTGATAAAATCATCAACTTTTTCTTGTTTCCTTCCAACATCATTTGTGGGCAATTGGCTATTTTTTGCCAACTTTCCAAGTTGGAATTGGTTATTCGTGCAGTCACTCTCATTCCCACCAAAAACCTTGTCTCAATAAGTACCGTTTAAAAAGTTAGATTTTCTAGTCATCCCTTAATTTTGGAGTGTTGCCAAACTTCCTATATATATATATATATATATTTTTCGTTTTTATAGTTGAGAATCATTTTTACCTGAAATAAAAAATAAGATAAAGTTTGACATAATAACATGTATCACACTCATGTTACTGTACACATTATCAACAACTATTAGAGCATCTCCAATGTTATAGCTTTGAAAGACAATGATTTTTAACACATGTCAATCAATGATTGTAATGTTAATCTATGTAGAAATAATGTTAAAAGAGTTGAAATCTGAATCAAACTAGTATCTCCAATGCATCAATTTGATAACAAGTTATTTGTATATGTGGACTAATTAAAATAATCATTAATACAAGAACAATAAAAAATTAAATCAAATATAAAATGAATTAATTAGTCATCATGTTTAACATGGTGTTAGATATTAGAAAGTGTGTTCAACATTGTTAACATTAAATGTTATCCACCTCATCATGAAAGAGTTCATAACAAGATGCATTGAAAAATAAATTAGTAATACACTTTCAAAATTTGATGATATGGATGAATTTTTATGAAGTCAAAAGCCACATTGGAGATGCTCTTAAACATACAAATCATTTTTTGTCATCATCTATATATCAAACAATTATGTGAAACTAACCATTCTTTTTAACCTAACATTTGCACTCTCTTAAATCTTAATAGGATTCTGTTTAACAGTTACCTTTAAGCATAGAACTGTTAATAAAATCAACATTGAGACTAACAAATAATCATTAAAATCATAATTCAAAATGAATAGAGCAAGTAACCATAATAACTACCATTCAAGGTAGAAAAAATCTTGCTTAACATCTTTCAGCACACTCTACTAAATAGTAAGCCCCAACCATAATAACTACCACTAAGAGAGGAAGAAAAATGAAAAACCAGAAATCAAAATGCATCAAAATAGTAAAAAGTCACTAAAAAAAAAAAAGAAAAATCCCCTCAAGAAATCGCCATGCAATACGGCAAGCTCGGTAGCCTCTTTGCTCGGTCGCTCCTCTCCCCATTGCACCTACTGACCGACCAATCTCCACCGTTGATCTTGCACCCGATTTTCCCTCCATCTTGATCCCTCGGGCCATTTTCCGACCAATCTCCACCATTGATCTTGCACCCGATTCTCCCTCCATCTTGATCCCTCAAGCCATTTTTTGACCAATCTCCACCGTCGATCTTGCACCCGGTTTTCCCTCCATCTTGATCACTCGAGCCATTCTCACCCCAATAACGGCCAGTAAATTCGCTCTCGTCACCACTTTCACCTTCGCAACAGTCCTTTTCAACCCCACTGGCATTTTCCTCTTCAACTTCTTGCCCTTCATCATCATCATTCCCAACTGTTTCACGAACCCTAACCAAAGAAAGCCTAAGCCTACCGTTTTCGCGCTCGACTTGAAAAAAGTTCCTATGGGACGAGAAATTGAAGGCCCTAATGACAAGTCGGCCCCCCTCTCGGTGGGCGTACACTTGAACCCCTTCATCGCCGCTAATGGAAGTCAACGGGGGTGGGAAATCGTTGACTTTGTTCGTTTTCTTGGGAGACTCTCGGATTTTGGCCGGCTTGTCCAATGCATGGAGGGAAAACTCGTCGAAATCCAAAATGATATTGGTCCCCGTCTCGTTGCCCAAGCTTTCGGTGCACATCTCGAGCGATTTTGTGCTGAGTGGGAAAAACGAGCGTTTGACAAGTGGGTGGACGTAAACTTGCTCCGTTTTTTCCGGGTTTTGTAGGGCGTGTTTGGGTGGGATTAGCTCGTTGAGTGAGTCGCAAGGCTCGAATAACAGGGGATCCAAACAGGACTTAAGGCTTTGGCACACACTTGATGAGGTGATTGACATGTTTTTGTTGGTGTGTTGGGATTTATTTGGTGAAAACAGGGGAGGGGATATTGGGTTTTCCAAATGAGGTGTTGAAGGGATCATAGATGGATTTTTAAGGTTTATATGATGAAAATGGGATTTATCTGTTTAATGTTATTTAACGTTTTTGTGAAGGGGAGTAAAGATTGAGTAATCAAGAAGGGAAAAATAAAGAAATGAGAGAATTGCATGAAAGGGAAGTGAAAGGAAAGGGTGTCAATTTATAGGTGTAAAAAGGTGTTAAAATAAGTGGGGGCTCATTTGCATGGAAAAGGCTGTAGAGGAATCCACATCCTTTCTCTCTATCTATCTTTTCTTTTTTGGGCTAAATTGTAAATTAAGTAGCAACATTTACATGATTTACAATTTAATATCAGTCTTTTAATTTTGACAATAAATGGCACCAGCTTTTGATTTTTCCACATCTAAACACACAGTCAACAAATTGAGTGTCAAATGCTTACATGTCTGAATCGTTATTTGACGTGAAGAGAGGAGACGACATGTCACAAACGAGAGAAGTAAAACAAAACTAAGTTGCAGTTGATATTCTTATTTCACACACTTAGAGCTTCAAAACTTATTTGTTTTTTATTGTGTTCGAACGTTTGGACATATTGACATGCAAGTGGGCTGAATATTTAGGGTGTGTTTGTAAAATAAAATTCTCAAATTAAATTAATTCATACTCAAAATTTAATTCAACTTTAACTCAACGCCACTATCCTCAATATTATCAATATAATTAAAAAATAATAATCAATCATTACATAATAACAATTAATCATTTTACACATCATCTCAATTTTAATTCATTATTCATCCACTCACATAATTTTAACTAACCATCATTTCATATCATATCTCTCCTACTTTTACATCAAACTAATTTTAATTATTTTATTTTAAATATTAGTTTAATATAAACTCAAATCCCACTGACAATTAACTATACTACTTTTTCTAAATTAACATTAGTTAACAACAAAAAACTCACATTGAGTTAATTTACTCAAATTATTTCTTTACAAAGATTCTTCAAATTTCTCCCAATATTACAAATCAAATTTTCAAGAGCCTCGATTTTATAAGGCGTGGTGTTTTTTTTTTCATGTGCCATTCTTCACTTCTTCATGTCAAATCACGAGCCAAACACTTAAACCCCTAACAGTCGGTTTATTGAAAAAATGTGGATTAAATTGCAAAGGAAGCATAGATTGAGATTTAATTGGAATATAGCCTTTTTTTCAAGGTTATTTAGTATGTCTCTTACATAATTTTAGATTTTTCTTATAAACACTTCCTTCTACTGATTCTATTTACAATAATCTTTCCCATATTTTACCTACACTTTACCTTTTCTTCCTAGTATTTACCATTAATAATTCTTCACTAGGCAAACTCACTTTTTGTCAAGGTAAATTAAAATAAGGGTTGAAGTTAATATAGATGTAGGAAATGACTAGGAAATAAAATAAAAAAAGCAGCTTTAAGCTGTGAGCCCACCAGCAAAATATCCAGAAACAGTGGGAGTTAGATTCACTACATGTTACTCTTGATACACATTCATTTTCCTTGTGTCCTTTTTTTTATTTCATGTGTCTTTTTCCACTTCATATCACCTGTTTTCTTTTTCCACTTCATACCAAGTTGTCTGCAGTTAAAAAGATAACTTGCTAACATATTATATTTNACTAACATATTATTTGATAAAAGTATTTTTGTACCTCAAAAGCATACATTATTATGCATGCAATAAATACCCAGACATAGTTACATTGGCAACATAATAATTAATTATATACTTCTTTTCAATCTTTTGGGCTCAACTGACATTAATCATAATTTAAACACTTAAAAATAGGGTTACAACTTTAAGAAAGACACCTTTTGGTCTAATCCCTATGCTAATATTTTCCCTTTTTAGAAATATGACAATGAGATTCATGCCCCCTTTTAATTGAACTTTGAGACTAAATAATCTAAATTCATTACATCACATCCTTTTTAGTTTCACCTAAGACATCACACTTAAATGAATAACTTAAAGACAAAGGAAAAAAAGAGAAAAATAAAAAATAGTAACTATTATTATTTTTATTACTGTTTTTCCCACTAACTGTTGAATGTTCATGCTTTTTCTTAAATGATTTAAAATTATGTCGATCTATTTCAACATACGGTAAACTACTGTGTTACGAATATGTGTTACATTTTTTGATCACCTGAAAATTGGAATACAATGATGTATATTGATATAATACACATTGTTTTATGCCTACTTTCCCTTAAGAAATAACAAAATAAAAAGGAAGAAGGAAAAAATCACCCATGTTTTCTTTCTTTCACTTTTCAAGATGAGTATCATCATGTGTGGAAAATGCATTTGTTTTTCCTCTAATGGCAGTAAACCACATGCATAAAACTGCCCAAAAACACATCATTGATCAATATATAAGTTAGTTTTTTTAATTTACATACAAAAACTTGTGTAAACCAACATATTTGTATTTCATCTAATGAAACAGAACATTCAAAATTTCAAATTCTTTTGCAGCTTGTAAAGTTTTAGTTGTCAGGGTTCTTCAATTTTTTAGGGGCATCTTTATTTGTAATCCACTTCAAAAGAAGTTGTTTGTACTTCGAATCCATATTCAAAGAAAAGAAAATCATATATATACAAATATAATGTGATAAGTAATTTATTGTTTGATATGTAAATATAACTTATAATGCAATTCTACATTCCAAAAAGCTCCTCTAGTGAGCTTTTTTTTAATTCATCTTATTGGATTAAAAAAATCTAACCGCTACTTACCAAACAATAATATTAGAAGCTCTCATGAATCAAACATTTAATTCACTCTCGAACTTCTAATTTGATCTCAAAATGCTAATTACCAAAACAAGACCAATAATTTGAAATGGTGATACATTCTGTAAAGAACAATTAGCAAATTAAGTGAAAAAACAACACAAGTGCTGGGTGATTAAAATATTTTGCAATTCTAAGATTGTTGCATCTGTGTTGTTTTCTAAAGCACAGAGGAAGCGGTATATGTCCTTACGACAGATAAATTTCCTAAAATGTGGTGTTAAGCTTACCTTTATATTATTATGCTTTTCAAAAAGTGCACAAATCAACCTAACAAAGAATACGTGTAGAAATTCAAATGGCAATAAGTATATGACGTAAATCCCAGGTAGAATCTGTGTCCAAATCACATGCATAGAGATAAAGCTTAATAGTGACTTTTCATAAAAGGGCCTTCCACAACGAAGGGTAGAAATATGGTAAAGAAAAGAAAGGGGAAAATGATTTATTTATTTATTTTTTTTTGCTTAATCACTAATAACAAAGATTTTATGTGTTTAACAAAATTTAGATTCTGCTTTCCAAAATGCACATATGAGGGTTTTTAACACACTTCTCTGCCTAAGAGATACATTAGAGTATATTAGAAAAGTAAAACTAGTCGACAATCAAAAGTCGCATAAGTATTTCGGTTAGGCAACCTAACTATTACACAATCCTTTCTAATTTTTGAACAAAAATGTATTCGTACTGTGAAATATCATATTTTGTTCATAATGTTTTCCTAGTATAAAATCAATATAAATATATAATAATAATATTATTATATATATATATATATTGAAAAGTATGATTGTCTAATGGTTAGACATGCCATGCAGAACTTGATAGTGCTAGTTCAAAAAGTTAAAAAGCTAAGAAACCTAATTAAATTGTTGGGAAAGATATACTTCAAAATAAGTTTTCAAATGGTAAGGAAAAAACATCCAAATGACCAATATACACATACTAATATTGAATTTTCCAACAATTAAACCAACATACAACAGTTAATACAACCAAAAGAAAATCACTTGATCGACATAGTGAGTTGTTTGAACTTTTAATCCATTATATATCCATGTGCTCTTAATGCAAATATAAATAAAAACCATAGGCGCAACTAAGACAAAGGGGAATACAAATATACAATTCCTTGTAGCTCAACCATTTTAAAGTAACTTTTCTTCACCATTTTATACTCTTTGATCCATGTNTTTCAAATCAAAACCTTATCACTACTCAATGCAATGGCTAGCTGTTTATTCACCAACCACCTTTGCATGAAAAGAAGAAAACCATAAAAATTGGTCACTTCCCATTTAAAATTGCACTGTCCTTTTACTTTAAAGCCTAAAATCGATTTTGCTCCTTTTTGACCAAACTAAGGGAACTTTTTCATGTTTCAAGCTACCAAATTTGTAAAAGGTAACCCAAAAGGGAATGAAATGAAGTCCAGTACCTAGAAATCTAGCAGAAAAATGTCAGGATGAACAGTTAGTTAAGCTTTTTTGTAGAATTGCAAACTGCAAATAAAATAACCATCAATGCCTTCAACGAACTTTATGGTCGGCATCAGATATTTTAAAACCGTAACCACACACACCACTTTTGCATAAAAAACTTTTATTTAAACTAGTTTAAATTATTTTTTAATGCAACATTAACAGTATTTCTATAGCATATATCAAAAAATTATCTTCCTCTAGATGATTTATATTCATAAAGATCACTACGAAGAATCTCACAAGTAACTCAACAACATTGATCAATATTGCATATAATGTATGAGAAAAAAGTGAGGAACAAAAGGTTTGCTGCTACCTTGATACATGAAAGTTCTGGATTTTGATTTGTAATTCTTCAAGTTGTCCCTCGATAGCTTTTAAAGTGTTAGTAGTCTCCAATAAGTCCTTTTGCATTGCCTCTTCCAGCTGACAAGTCAAGGCATCAACTGTTCTTCGCACTTTATTGATCACTTTTTGTCTATGGGTTGCGAGATTGATATTGCCACCAGACTATCATGAACGGTATTGTTATACGAGTCAAATTTTGTTAAAACCAATTTTACAAATAGTTATAATCAGAAAATACAATTACCACCTAACATGTATCTATTTTACAAATTATGCAAAACTGAGGATATTGTTTGTAAGAACTAAATCTAAATGTACGCATGAAATTAGTTTATTGATTGACGTTCTACTAAGTTGATAGGCATAAGGAATTATCACCACCGAGAAATTAGTAACTAGAGTATGAAGGCTTAACGTGGAAAAACTTGCTAAATGATATAGAATGATAATTCCAATAACTGCCAGAAAGAATGTTTAAATCTTCTTATAGTAAAATTAACCGAAAATAAGGAATAGCATACTACTGTGATTGGAAATAAGATTTTTTAGATTTGATTTGATTCATTGGATCAAGTTAGTTAAGATTGAAAAAGAGTGATTGGGTGGAAATTTGGATTTGATTTTGAGTTTGTGAATGGATATGAGTTAAAATGTAATGATTTTACTTTAGGTGATAGTAGAATAATGATTGTAAATGACTGATGGTTAAAAATATGTGAATCCATGAATAGTGAATTTGTCGGAAATTGTGTGGTAATCATTGGGTAGTGAATTTTGGGTTGGATTTTGAGTTAAAAATTTGATCGTAGTTCGTCTAAAAACAATTATCCGGCGAGTCAAAACCAAAAATAATGTATTTCCAACCGCAGTTTGCCAAGTATCCCTATTTTCAACTTCTGGAAGAATACAATGCAAGTAAATTGCTACATCTTCATTAAGCTGAAACGTGTTTAGCTGGATGAAAACGAAAGATTAATTTCTAATCTAGAAAGAATCTCGAACGTACCACTTCACGATTTTTTTGCTCAAACAGTTTGGAGGCAGCAGCACTGAATTGTTCAATCACTGTTAGTCCTAACTCGTGCTTTGCTCTTAGCAGCTCATTGGCCTCCTGCCGAGACTGTATTGATGGAACTACTAACTGCCATCTTTTCTCAAACAATTCTTTGTATGTATTTCCTTCGCGAGTTTTGTTTGATCAAGTAGAATACTAGCCAAGCAGTTTCTGGAACCCAACAAAATTCTCAGGACTCAAAAATATTATGACATGGCATATCAACTCACACCACATAAAACCCGAATGGCAAGAATATAACCGGAAGTATTTTTTTGCTACAGGTAGGGTACAATATAAAGCCTCAATTTGACTAAAGACATAAAAGTTCTGACGCAAAGAACAAATTTTCTCTTAGCAATAATGACAATATAGAATTTATACGAGACTAAGCAAGTTGATGGAAAATATCTTATCTGCATTACAACAACAACAACAACAACAACAACAACAACAACAACAACAACATACCCAGTATATTCCCAACATGTTGGGGTCTGAGGGGTCAATTGTACGCAGACCTTACCCTTGTAATTATACAAGGAGGCTGTTTCCGTAGCGACCCATTCAAGGAACTTTATTTCTTATCCAGATCTAATGAAAGGGAAAATGCAACAAAATTTTGCTCAATCATGTGCACAATAAAAATACTTCACCAACACTGTTGAATTGAAAATGATAAAATTTCATGTGTCTCGTGCATTACTAGTATATGCACAGATCAAATACAGTTCATCTGAATATAGAATCAGTTTCGTAATAGGGGGAATAATGCGACGATAGCGCTTAAACTAGATAAATATAAATTGTACAAACAGAGGAACTTGAGAGTAAATTATAGCCAGATAAAAGGTCCAAAAAGTTCTAATAGGTGCTAACTGCTAAAGATAGACAAAAAAAGAAAAATGACAAGAGACTAAAATATTTGCTGCAATCAATTTAGAGAGGCACAGTTGCCAACAAAATTCTCCTTGATAATCATAAGACAACTCGATCAGTAGCCTGGACCTAGTTGTGCACTGCACATTTACAGTAATTATTTTAAGCAGTAGCATAAGAACTGCAGTCATCCAATACTAACACTATCAGGAATGGGTTGTAACAACATACAATCGTAGTCAATGAGTATGTCAGTCAAATCAAATCAATGTCCCAACCTTATCAAAATACAAAAAAAATTGCTGTGCGAAATCGTACCACATGGAATCATGAAAGCATCAATGACCAGTCGGTTGACAGGAGGAAAAGGATCAAATCAGCATGAGGCACAAATTCATCTGTCAGCCATTTTCTGTCTTTGGAGTATCACATTTGTTCCAGGGGTATCAACTTTTATCATCTGCTCAATAATGGGACAAGAAGGAAAATAATGTAAAATGGTCCAAATGAGTTTTGAATGAGATTGTTAATACAAGATGACTAAATTCAGAATCAGAATAGCTTACGAAAGTGATCTCATTAGTTGATGGCATCATGGCACAACCCATCCTTCAGGTATCTCTGCCCCAGAAAGGCATTGATGACACTCGACTTTCCAGAGTTGAACTCTTCCTGATGAAACCAGTCAAAAGAATTTTATGTTAGATCTTCTGTGGTCAATAAATTTGGTGACAATGAAAGAAAAAAAATGCTTCTCACAGCAAAATTCCAGCACACACACTACACTCTTCAATGGAAAACTAGAATATACCAAAATCTTGCAGTATATTAAACTTCTACTGATATAATATTATATAATCCGAAAAGTTGCATGATCCTGTAAGAAGGGTATATACTCCAGAGCTGAGGTGAGGACATTTTCAGCATCAATCCAACACAACACGTGAAAAGTTCAAGTGCTAAGAAGTCACAACTCAGACATTCACACACTCTGACCAACACTTAATTGCAAGCTTACGGATAATTAACAACCAGTTAATAAACAAAAAGAAAAAAAACGCATTGAAATTTAGAGCAAATACCATATGTATCCTGGAACCACGATTGGTTGAAATTCAGCACACAATTACCACTATAACCAATAAATTTCAGCTCGCCCCTAAACACGTCGCCGTCGCTCAGCCGGAGCACGACACATGGAACTCTGATCTCCGGCCAATTGAATCCGTCAGGGAACAGGCTTCTCGAATGGTTCTGGATCTTCGAGCTCGAAATTGGCGTACTCCTGACGCCTCCACCGCCGGCGGCAGCGAAGCGAGCTGACTGAAGTGAAAGGTTCGGGAGGGACGAGCGCAAGCGGCTCCCGGCGAGTGCTTGGTGTGGAAGAGGAAAAGTTGGGGAAGAGTGGTTGATATTATTTATTAATCTAAAAAATTAAAACATGAATTAAAAACCTATTTTCTCGAGCCATAAAAGGAATAACAGAAAAAAATGTGGCTGCTGGGATTCGAGCCCAGGTCTCCACGGCCACAACGTGGAATTCTTACCACTAAACTACAGCCACTTTCATGCATGAAAACATCAATTATATTAATGAAGAATCCATTCTATTAAACCAAGAATTTTAAGATTGATATGAAGCATTACTGGCAATCTAACATCAAGATATTTAACACAAAGTTCTACTCAGATTAACATCAAATATCATTTTTTTATTTATTTATTTTCTTACTTCCCTATTTTCAATATATCGGTTTCTATTCTCGATTCTTAGAGGGTGATTGTTTATGAAATATTTTGTTCAAAATGAATTATTTTGATTAACCATAGTTAATTTTGAAAAATGTGGTATGGTTAGTGGAATTTTAAGAATGTATTATAATAATATTTAAAATAAAATAATTAAAATTGATTTGATTTAAAAGTATGAGATAAATGATTGGAAATGATTAGTAGTTAAAATTATGTGAGTGGATGAATAGTTAATTGAAGTTGATGTGATGTGTAAGAATGATTGATTTGTATTATTTAATTATATGAATAATATTAAAGATAGTGAGGTTGAATTAAAGTTGAATTAAATTTTGAGTATGAAATAAATGAGAATGAAATAATTTATAAACAATCAAGCCCTTAAAATCTATATATATATAATTACTAGCTCAAAACATTTAATAAAACCTATTTAATTTTACCTATGTGGCAATTTAACAATTTTCCCTCCAAAAACCGTTACATTTTGATGTATTTAATCTTTCATTCAATCATTAAATAATTAATACTCATCACTTCAAAATTACAAAACTTTTTATTAATGACAGTTGACCATATAATGTGTTGACCGTATAATGTGATTAGATGTTATTATTGTTGTTACATTTAATTTTTTTTTTTGAAAATAAAAAATATATTTAAAATTCCTAAATAAATAATAAATAATTCACAAATAAAAGACGTACCAAAATATACATTACATCCAATCAGATAAACGCAATTTAAAAAAAAAAATATTCTAACTCTTTTAATTGTAAATTTGGTCTGCGAAAAAGTGAAAGAAAAATAATTAATCATTATATGCATACAGACTCACAATAATTTATTTATATCTGTGCAAATGCACAGGTCGAATACTAGTTATTTATAAAAGTTATAGAAGTAATCTTCTTCTTATTAATTTATGTAATGAAATTTAAAATAAAATTTTGTGTATAAATGTTTACAAAATACACACACATGTTTCTTAGAGTTCAATTTTCTCATAATAATTAAAAAAATTAATTATCAATATCCAAACAAATAAATCTCATGCATAATCAAGAAATTCTTTTAATTTTCATATTTAACATACTATGCAATAGAAATATATTTTACAATAAATTCATTATAGAAACAAATCAAAACAACAAAAAAAAATGACAAAAAAAATTTATCATAGTTGACAATAATATACAAATAAATCACACGTTGAAATTTTAAAAAATAATCAATATATTTTAATTTTATTATATAGCCATTAGTAAAATTATTTAATGAAGTGATCATTTTCTCTTAAATGATAAATTATATTAATTTAAAAAAGTTATTTGTTTTATATAGTTAAATAAAGGTTAAAAACATTGTCGACATATATTAATTCATCAACATGATTTTAGAAGGAGAAAATTATTTAGCATGTTACAATTGTTTATAAATATTTGAAGATAAAAGTCAATATGTATGAAAAAATAAATTAATAATATGGATAAGATTTAAAATTTGTTTTATATTGACCAAGATATTATCAACATGAATCGCGAAAAAATCAAATTGTAGTTTATTATAATGGATATCAATAAAAATATTGTAGAAGTTAAAAAAATTATTCAAGAAAATAATTTTTTTAATCATATTCTGATTTGGAAATGTGCATATGCAAGCAATTAACGCATATAATTACAAATTTTCCAAATAAGGTATACATTAAATGTTTTCAGATTTTTTTGTTACTATTTTTAATAAATAATTATTCTCTTTATATATAGCCAGATACTTTTNGAGTTATATATATATATATATATATTAAAGAACATATGGATTTTTTTATATGAAAACAATCTTTTTTTTTTATTCTCTATAGCTAATTAAAAAGTAAAAGAAGCCCCATCATTTATTTTTGCATCATGGAATATGATTTGAAATAGGCTAGGATTTTTGTTATTAAGATCTATGACATATTTACTATTATTGTTGTACAAAATATTAATCTAAATTAGTTACTTTTGGAAATAGCATAAATTTATAGTTTTGTAGGAATAATAGTTACCTTACAATATAAGTTAAAGTCTTCGAAATTGAATAACAATCCCCATCAAAATAGGACAAAAAAATCTTTCGAAATTACAAACCAATTTGTTCACATTTTTTAAGAAATAACAATCCCCATACATATGGGATAAAACATTGCAATAAAATCGGATTACCAACTGGCGTGTAAAAGAAGTATTCTTTAAAAATTATAGCACATAATAAAATAGAATAACAATACGAAAAAAAAGGAACGGAACAATGCATAAAATTCATAGGATAAATTGCATGTCATTTAAGGGCAACATTAATTGCTGAACGATTTTCTTTTGTAATAAAAAAAAAGTTGCCATAAATGGCATGTAATTAATGCTAATAAGATTTTGACAAATATTTAACTTACTATTCTTGAAAAACTAGAGCGTAGCCCGTGCGATGCACGGGATTGTATATTTTCTTGAAATGTTTAACGTGTGAAATATTAAAAATAATATAATTTATATATATGTAACAAAAATAAATGGATTGCAAAGAAGGAAAAAAAATATAAATTATTGAACACTTTCTTTGTGAAGTAAAATTTGTGAAGTTTTGATATATTTGATTATGAATAGAAAAGTATGAAATACTACTTACGGACCGTTGAGATAGATGAGAAGATTTACTTAGAATATATAGAATAAATATTGAGATAATGATTTACCTTTTACCTAGTATATATAAAATTAATATTGACATGATGTGGGAAAATTATGACGAAATATGACATAAATTCGTTTAGAAGTTAGTAGAAAATATTAAAAAATTAGATTTATTTTTTATTTTTTAAATCCTTACAGTAATTCGTAAGCTCCTTTTCATACGCTTAATTTATCAAGTTTACACATACAAATCAAAATTAATGCAACTCGAAATATTATATAACAAATAAAATGAGATTTTTTATCTAACATTTAGTATATTGCCGGAAAATCTTTTATAAATCTTATTCTCTTTTTATGCACATAGATATTAAAGAATGAGTAAAAAAATTATCTAAATATGTTTAAAAGTATCTAATATTATATGTGTTAACAATGTTACAACCAAAAGACATTAAGAATACGTAGACTATTATATAACATATGTGAAAGTATTAAAATATTTTATATTATTATCGAAAAATGTGAAATTACCTCAATTCTGTCTAGACTATTTTATAAGAAAAATATATATACTTAAAGTTAGCATACACACATATATATCCTTAAAGTTTGCCCAACTAACATGTTTAAAAGTATATACAATTTTATATATAAAAACACGTTTAAAGTTTACATATTTTACAAAAATTAGACTGCTCTCAGTTTATATAAAGTTTGTTGCTTTCATATTCGGATAACGTATTATGCATTTAATGAAAGCACCCTACGATACAAATTTATAAATATTAATTAAAATAATTTTCTAAATTATATAAAATTGAAATAACAAAGGTAATATTACATGTTCATCATGAAACAGTATATGGAATGCGTTACAGCTCTCCCGTTCGTGATGGGTTTCAATAATACGGGGTGCTCTCAGACACAAAAAAAAGTTTGTTTCTTTTGTTAACGGAATCAAGTGTACCCCAACCTGGAAGCATTATATTGTATATACAATGAAAAATTATTCTCTGTATTTTTTTTTCTCTGAATGATGAGATGTAATGGTGGTAGTGAATATCCTTTTATACAATTTTTTATTAACCAAAACTAATAAGATAATTATGGATTGTATTTGGATAGATAGTAAGTCCAATGATTTTTGCAACGGACAATCAATTTCACATATTTTTTATTAACCAAAAGTGATAAGATAGTTATGGATTGTATTGTATAGATAGTAAGTCCCATGATTTTTGCAACGGACAATCAATTTCACATGCTTAATTAACAGAAATATCACCATTATTAAGGAGAATATCCATTTGCTTAATTAACGCAAATTTCATGCTAAATTAACAAAATATCTACTGCCTTTTCACGATTTTTCTTTCGATTTTAAAGTAGAATAGATAAATAGAAAGTCAAAAGTCAACTCAATTATTTTTAGGTTTCTAAAAAAGGATTTTTACATCAACCCTTTTTTATATATATATATATATATAGATGGTAATCCCTCTATCTCTCTTATCCCTCTATCTCTCTTATTCTTATAAGAAAAAATGAGAGACCATTCTTGGCTGACAAGTGGCACATTTGTGGTATTGTGAATTAAGGTGTATGGCCTACACGTGGCCTTTTTTTTCACATTGCTGCTCTCCTCTTTTTTCTACGGTTCATGTCTTGCAATTTTTCATTTTGTTATTAAAATTTTGCAGAGCAAAACGGTGCCGTATTTTAGCCATGTTGCATTGTTAATTGACGTGAGTCACCCTGCTTGAATTGCCTTTTGGGGGATAGTATTGTAAATCCAATCCTCATTCATTTTTTTTTTTTCGGTCACTTTCCATCACACGCTACACACCGACTCACATGTCGACACGAATGAATTTTTACTTTTTCCCTTTTTTTTCAGTCAATTCATTCTATAGCTTTTTCTTACGCACGAAGTTTCACTAGCTTCTGAAATGACCGACCAATTACTTCACAACCAACCTTCTCTCTATTCCTAAATCTTTCAGCCCAATTTTTTCCTTCTCCCGTTGGAACCCGCATGATCGGAATTGATCTCCGGTTATGACAACACGAGCTCAAGCTGCTGCGTCTGAGAATGTACGGAGATGCGACCGACAATTTCCAATATTTCGCGTTCTTCAGCCGAAGGTCTTTTACTTTTGGAATCAAATTAAACAGAAGCGTGAGAACTGGTAGGCTTTCGCGTTGGTTGAGGAGCGAAGATCGATAACCCCTGGAATGTCTTGAATACATGGCGGCCCGGCGAGAGAAAGCGATGAGCAGCTCCGACGTTTAGCACGGCGGCGCTACGCGCGGCATTCAGATCTAAAAGTTGGCGGCAGCTCGCGTGTCGAGGTAGGCGAGTTGCGTTTCGTTAGCTTCAAGAACAAGTCGGTCTCATTCCTTAGTTTTACCTCTTCCCTGAATTTGTTTATGCTTTTCTAGGGTTTTTGAACTGGGTCTTTTGATTTTAGGGTTACTAATATTTCTAATTCAATTGTTAATTTTCTTTCAGGAAGCAAGAGGGATTGGACTTTTTGTACAGGATTGGCTCTTGGGAAAGGGAGTTCCAGTTTCAAAGAGCTTGAATCTTTACCAAAAATCAAACCTGATGTAACTGCATCAACATCCTCTGCTTCTACCGAGGTATTTGCTTCATTGAAGATTGAGCATTTTCTATATATGTCATGTGATAACTCTTTTGGAAGTTCAATATTGCTGTTTGCAATTTTAATGCCCTGGTTTATTTGTTATATTGTAGCAGTCTGCAGTTCCAGAAGCTCGTGCTAATGATGCATGGAGGAAACATCATTCGGACCCTTTGCTTTTGATCCGGCAGAGAGAGTAAGAAACTCTTGCTCACGTCAACAATAATCTTGTCCGAATGGCCGTGATTAGGAAATATGTAAGACTGTAAGTCCTAAATGGCTTGTAATAAGATGCATATGACATGAGCTGCATCTGTAAGTCCTGAATTGCCGTAGCGTTTAATAAACATGAATTATGATTGGGGTGCTTTTTGATTGTTTATCTGGGGTTTTAAATGATGCTTCATTTCTGAAATGCTTGTGCTTTTCAATGGATTAAGTCGATTATGTTAGAAAATAAAAAATGATGAAGCCTTTTTTTTCCTCATTTTTGTTGTATTGGCTCATATATAGATCCATCCTTGAAATTGGTGTACTTGGTTAATTTTAATATATAAGTCTATGTTTTTATGCGTTGTCATCCTCCTGTTAGCTCATGTCTTCCACTGAATAACAACAATTTGAAAATACTTTGAGATTGATTTAATGAAAATAGCTAATGGCCTAAATTTTCAGTAATTGATGTGCCTAGCCTGAGAGTATTATCAAATAACTATGTTTACGTGTAGTGCAGGAATTGCAAGAAATACTAGATTCTGGAAATCCACTGCCTTTCCCTGATGGAATCCTTATAAACGGCCAGGGTCGACCTTCATTCACTGAGTAGGTCATATATATTACTGGGCTTAAAGTGCTTTGACTTTTTCTTTACAAATAATTCGCATAATGCGAAAAATGAAAGTTAGAATCGAACTATCACTTTTAAGTACTGTCTGCAAAGGTTAAGAAGACAGTTCTACAGGCACTTGTAGTTGGAACATTTAGTATTTGCAAATCACCTTATTGTGAAAGCTTGGAATTATTCAAAATTGTGTTTTAATTGAGAGATTTGTGGTTTAAAATCTTGGTTTGTATTTTTTAGGAAAGACATACATGTTCAGGGTCTCAAACATCGGCTTGTCCACCTCTATCAATTTCAGGATTCAAGGCGCCAAACTGAAGCTTGTCGAGGTTGAAGGGTCCCATGTGCTCTCGAGTATCTATGATCTCGCGACATTAACATTGGCCAATCTGTGACAATCCTTGTCACCTTGGATCAGTCACCAAAGGATTATTACATGGTTGCATCCACGCGATTTACCCAAACAGTCCTTACAGCCACCAGCGTGTTGCACTACTCCAACTCCCGGGCTCCGGTTTTCGGGCCCATCCCAGCTGGCCCGACTGTTTGAATATGGTCCATGGACCAAGCTAGATTCTACAGGTACAAACAACAAGATTTGCACCAAAATAATTGTGCTGAAATACTCGATACAGTGTAATGGGCTTTCTGAAACTCGAAAAGATCCAAGCATTTTGGCCAGGCCAATTGGATGTCCAAACATCGATATGCTTTCATTAAAATTTACTCATTTTGTCATTTTTCAGGTGGAATCTGACCTCAAATGCTGCTAGGCCTAACCCGCAAGGCTCATTCCATTACGAGATGAGAATGCGAACGAGGATTCTTGTGCTGGCCAACTCAGCGTCCATTATTAACGGCAAGCAAAGATATGCCGTTAACGAAATTTCTTACATAAATCCCGACACCACCTTTAAGCTCGCAGATTATTACAACATCCCGGGTGTTTTCACTGTGAACTCCATCCAGCGCGCGCCACCTGGCAGTGGGCCCAGCCTGGGGACATCCGTCTTGGGAGCCTCACTCCACGACTTCATCGAGATCGTGTTCCAGAACAATCAGGACACAATCCAGTCGTGGCATCTCGACTGATATGACTTCTGGGTTGTCGGGTGTGTAAGCTTCAAAGCTTTTGTTTAAATAAACTATTTGAATAGAATACAATTTCTAGATATAGTTATTTTTCCCGTTACTGTAACAGCTTCAGAAAAGGGCAGTGGACCCAAGCTAGCTGGCAGACTTACAATTTTGATGATGCTTTGACCAGACACATCACACAGGTAATAGCAACTATACATGGTAATTCGGGATGGACTAGCGAAATTGACCAGGCCCGCGACCACGTACTTCGTGTTGTACTGGCCTCGAACGGTACATTTAAAGCATTGGCTTAAAATTATTCATTCTTGCAGTGATATCCCAAATTGTGGACTGCCATATTAGTGTCTTTAGACAACCAGGGCATGTGGAATGTGAGGTCGGCAATGGGGACTGGGGAAGACAATACCTCGGACAACAACTATATCTGAGAGTTTACAACCCGACACAACCTTTGCAAACGAGTACGACATATCAAACAATGCACTGCTTTGCGGTAGAGCAGTCAGGCCGAAAATATAATTAATTTAGCTAATAATATATATTACATAATGATTAGTATGTGAGGTTTTTCCATCTATCTATGGAGAATATTTATTTGTTGAGTTTTCTCAGTCATGAGAGGTTGGCTGTTATTTGCACAGGGAAAATGTTGTTAAAAAACTTGCAAAATTAATTGTACTTTCAAACAATGGTTGCAGTTCATTTGATATTATTTCCATAATACATTGCTTGAAATGTGATTGAGTTGTGGTTTTTACTTGGTGATTGAAGTTTACTAGCTAATAAAACCAACCTATTGAACATGAATTTGTTCTGAGCCTGTAAATACTATTGTCTCCTAGATCACAGTTTCTTGATGCAACATAGATCCACGGGTACCCCAATTGTGTGTGTTGTTTTGTTTTTGTGTTTATTGTTCTTTGTTGTGATGTAATATACTTGTTAATTAACTTCTGCACAAACAATTATTATGCAGTGCTTTTTTCGCTATGTTACTTTTTTTTTTTTCTCGGCGATATGAACAATAATTTTTTTTTCACAAGTCTCTCAAAATAAAGGGAGCAAACTATGTAGGTCTACATAATGAAAGAGTAATTCTATTTGTGCGAATAATTTCCACAGAAGATTAATAATCAAATACCTGATAGCCGATAGCTGATAACAGATTAAATTGGTAGATTTGACTATTAGATTAGTTTTAGGCAAAATATTCGGTAAATATTTAATTATTTGATATTAACTTTAACTATCTTTCTTTATTCAAAAAGCTTCTATTTTTATCATTCAAAAATTTATTTGAAGTTGATATCTACCAAATAATTAAATTAGATTTTATGACAGATCTAAAACTCTAATTCATCTTACATCTCTATTTTAGGACCAAAACGTTGTTTACCAAGCAAGTCATTATGTATTTTAAGATATTAACATTTTTTCCCCTTTAATAGGGTATGTACTGTCTAATTGAACCCACTCTCAATGATAACAAGAGTATATTCCACTATAGAAGCTTAATTACAACATCCAAACAAATTTTTTGGGGCTCTAATTGCCACATGATAAGCACATGGGGTGACTTCGAGTTAATCTCAAATGCAATACAAACAAAAATAACTAAGTTATCAATAATTTCTGAGGATTATGCAGAGGTTGAAATGGTTGATTTAAGTTTGTGCCACAGGATTATAGCTAATAATATATATTACATAATGATTGAAATGGTTTTATGCAGAGGTTGAAATGGTTAATTTTCTTGTTCTTCTTTACCATGACCTACTTTGTCGTTATAGATTTAAATTATGCAAGTTTTTTCAAGCATGTTCAAACAATTTATTCAAGATAAATTTCCTACACTCTAATTTTGGTCATTTGGGTAAAATTTAATAATAATAGTTAAAAAATATGTATAAATTTAGCTGATTATTTCAATTGACGCTAAATTTTAATTTGATTATAGATTAAATTTAAGTCGTGATTGTACGAGTTACTAAATATTCAAATTTTATGCTTAATTATATAATACATTGGGTCAGGCTGTGCGTGCACAGCCGCAAACCCACTAGTATATAACTAGTACGTAACCCATAAGATGCACGAGATGTAAAATTTGAAAGAATAATATAACCTCACATGCATTAGGATTGAAATTGAAATCATTAAAATACATAGTAACATTGTTGAATCATAAAAAGTTCGGTAACAATCATATATTACTAAAAACCTCCTTGTACACAACATTATGAGTTTGATTATTTGGTAACTCCTCATTATCACAAACTAATATTTTCAAAAGAGACAAATCTTAAAAATCAAACTAATATTTTTGGTGAACAACTAATATTTTAAAATTGGTGAACAAACTAATATTTTAGGATTTCTAGGATTTGTCTCTTTTTGGTGAACAAACTAATATTTTAGGATTGGTTATATGAATAAGGCTACCTGTTTTTGGTGTTCTTTTCATTCATTTTCATTTAAACAATCCGATGACTTGTATAATGAAATCCGAATCTTAAGCCGAAATATTTAAAAAAAAAGAGTTTTTAAAAATTGAAAAGTCAAGGCAATCAGTTCAGATTAATTAAAGGTCAAAGAATATTCGCTCCTTGAAATAAAGACATGTGCTATCATTAACCAAATATCGTGTGCTATCATTAACCAAATATCCGATTATTGATATAGAGTGGTTACCAAAAAATATAACGCGATAAGGACGCTTCATGGAAATATCAATGGGATAAGGTCATAACAGATCGCTATACATTTTAACGATAAAAGCTTAGATGAAATGATTTATGATAATTATGTCGTAATTAATGAATTAATTAGATGTTTGAAAAGAACGTAATTAATGAGAAGTGTGAAAAGGACATAATTAATGAGAAGTGTGAAAAAGACAAAACTTACCAGTTTTGGAAAATATTTAATGCAAATCCGACATTGACCATAATTTGACCTACTATTTTGGATAAATGTTAATTCTTATTATATAAGTATAGATTTCAGAATGTGCTGAACCTACGTGACAAACTCTCATGCTTTGGAATTCTATTTGGCAAAAAATCAATGCTTTAGAGTTAGGCTTGGGTATAAATTAATATTTGTATTAATTGTATTTTAATATCATTTCCTATTATAACTATTGAATTGCAAATATATTTTAAAACTTGACAACTTTTGTATTTCTTAGCGGTTTTACATATATAATATATCAAATTAATCATCATTTGATGAATTTCGATTTGATATCCATATTGTATATATACAATAAATAAATTATATTTATCTTTACAACAATAATAAAATTATTTTATTTATTAAAATTAATTAGAAAATAAAATTATTCATCAATTAATATATTTATGTTTTATGAAGTTATATGTTATAAGGTAGAAAATTTATTATAATATAACATATATAAGTCGTACAAGTAACATGTGTCAAACTAAAATATATAATAATATATACTCCATCATATTTTTATTATTTGTCACTTTGACTTAATTGATCATTGATAAAATAAATGTCGTTTTAGATATTTGGCTCATATTTTTCAATTTTTAACCCTCCATCTAATACACAGCGTCTCTTCATATCTCATCTCTATCAGTTCCCATAATGGTTAATATTGTCAAGAAAAAAAATCTTAATTACTATGTTGCATTTGAATTGATATTATGAAGTTCGCTTATATTTTACTATTTATATATATGTATATATAATACAAAACAGTAATATATATCCTTATAAATAAAATTTGAACTAATTTATCAAACTAAATTAAATTATATCAAATAAAACTATAAATTATAATATAAAGTAATAAAAATTGGTATGTATTCTTTTAAAAATGATATTTATTTCATATCTAATTAGTATATTGTCAATGTAATAAAAATAAATAATTAATAAAACTATAAATTATATTATAAAGTACTAGAAATTGGTATGTATTCTTTTAAAATGATATTTATTTCAAATCTAATTGGTATGTTTGTCAATGTAATAAAAATAAATATTTATTTATATAAACACTAAAATTACATATACAGTTAAAAAACTATGAAACAGGGACTGATACGACACTTGATATATTAGGCATCTAATTAAGTAAAAAAAAATTAATCTATTTTGCTTAATATTAAATAAATATATTCTACACTTATGCATATACATATCACCATAATATTTCTATTTATTTAAGATATATATTTTTATACTTATGTAATATTAAATAATATCGATATTTTATATGATATAAGTAAAAAATTCAACACAGATTGACATTTTCATTTAATGTACGGGTGTTTAATTATTAGGATTAAGAAAAATATAATTTGACAGTTTAATTAAAATCCAAAATAAAATTTTATATAAAATTAAATTATTTTAATTTATAAAAAAATAAAAAATTTAATATTTTTTACAAAAGCTTTCTAATTCAATACCCGTGTATTACACGGGTATTGTACCAGTTCTTATTGTATCCGAGAGGCCCAAACCAAGTGAACTTACCCTAGCAACCTATAACTCTTTTCGACCTCTCCAAGTCATCCTATTTAATTCCCTTCTTCACCATCAGCCGGCCTTATTTGATCCTACCCATCGTCTCACGTTTTCTCCTCCATAAATTCACCCAAAATCCTCCCACAAAAATCCACGGCAAACCACCTTTCTCTCTCGGCCGAGCAAACTCCACAGGCGGCAAAGGAGTCCCAAACCACCTTTCCTAGGAATTGGTTCTGACGGCACTGAGATTGGGTGCCAAAGGGAAACCCTTTTGGCCCTGTATATTGTCGAAAGCCCTGAAATCAATAGTATACATATATTCTACCCCTAAAATCTGAGCCGACCCTAATAATTTGCCGTCATGGGTGGCGAATTTGAGTTGCCGGAGCACACAATCCATCACATACAATCCTTCCTCACCGGAAAGGAAGCCGTTCGGACATCAGTTCTCTCCAAATCGTGGCACCACGCTTGGACCACTAGCCCAAACCTTGAATTTGACGAAGAATATTTCAGGCGTATGGACAATTATTCCAACCCCAGCTACTTGGACGAATTCGTAGAATTCATGAACAAGACTATTAAGAGATACAAAGAAAGGAAACTGAAGATCGATGGTCTTAGGCTCTTTGTAAACTCTTCATTGGTTGATCATAAAAAATTAATCTCACAAGCGCTTAGTACGGGCGCGACTCATCTCCATATTGGTGGAAGTTTTGTTGTGCCGAAGGTGGTGTTTAAAGCTGAGAATCTTGTCCGATTATCCTTGGACTATTGCAAAATAAAAGAAAACCGGGTTCGAGTCGTAAAATATCCTCGGCTTGAATCCCTTAGTTTATACAACGTTGAAATCAGTTCCGGTGTGATTTCTAGGATAATCTCTGGCTGCCCCTCCATCAAGACATTGTCGCTATCGAATTTATCGTCATCATCAGGTGGATTGTATTGTCATGGGTCGGTTGTTGGAGAGAGAATATGTTGTCATACGCTCACGACTCTCGTGCTTTGCAGGGTGTATTTCTGTGGTGACGACCTGTCCTCTAAATTTCCTTCCCTCAAGGATTTGACCCTACAGCATCCTATGTCAGATTCACTAGAGACGCGAGTTTCCAGCTGTTCGCTTGAGCGTTTGAAATTAGTTTCCTTACCATGTTATTCGATTAATTATACATTCAAGTTGGACGTACCAAGTCTCCGCAGGTTTACGTTTGATGGTTCACTCTTTCATCACATTACTGTTGCATCGGCTTCAAGGAATCTGGTGTCGTTCTTAACAATAACAGAACGAGGTCACTTGAGCACCACATTGTTCAAAAAGTTGGGTAATTTTCTAACGGGGTTGGGGC